CACCTAGACTATCACTTTAATTTCCATTCAGAGTGACATGGTATTTTACTTTATTTCTTCAGTACTCTTATTTTTATTCATAGATAGTTTATACAAACAAACAATTAATCATCTCTTGGAATCAGAGCAGATGTCATGGATCCACCCATAGACCCTTCCACAGTTCAGAGGAGGAGAGTGAGTCTGCAGAAGAAAGTGTGGAGCCAAGAATTGGTCAGGATCAGGTCTCAGAGAAAGCTAGCCTGACAAAGCAACCTCAGCTGGAGGAGTGATGGGTGGAGCGTGAAGGAGGCAAGCCACAGCTGCAGCAAGTTGACCAGGAGGCTCCAGGTGAGGACCAGGAACAGCCTTACCTGTTAGCAATGAGGAGAGATGGAGTCCACACCTCCACCTGATCCAAAGACACATAGAAAAGAGAGGAGAAAGGCACACCAGTTAGCTAGACTATTCATGCAAAGGCTCTCATGAAGTAAACATTAATTAGTTAATCCTGTCCTGAGAACTTGAATGTTGCTGGAGCAACATGCCCAGTTCTGTGCCTGAATTCTATATTCTGATCTGTTTGATTCTTGGATTGCTTTCCTGGACTTTGTGTGTCCCCATTGGACTCTTGCTGTATTGAGCTTGGAATATGGACCTGTGCAACAGGGGTGCTTCTGAGGACCTATTTGGGGGATTTGAATCTGTAGAACTCTTGCCATACATGCGTGTATGTGTGGGGAGTGACACAACTTTCAGTCAAGCTCAAGGGAACATTAAGTGGCAATGTTCTGCAAGCAGATTTCAAAATGACAGTTTATGCCTTTGGAACAATAAAGATTGTTCATCTTCTCATTTACAATGTTTCTTGAACACAAGGTTGTGTGCTCAATAGCTACTACTACTGATTTGTAATACATTTTATAGCGCTATACCAGGGCCCATAGCTTCAATGCTTTTAAAGTATATGACCAGTAGTATCTGAGCTAGTAATGGGAATATTATAAATAGTTCATCTATCAAATTCAAACAAAAATAAAAAGTTTTCTCTTGATGTATACGTCAAATACACTGGGTTTTTTTTAATAACTTCACTTAATTACTTAATTAATTACTGATGCATGGACAAAAGCATTAATGATTTATAGCATTAGATAACTTGGCATGAGAGAAGGAATTTATGGAGCCATTTAAACTTTCCTTATGAATTGTTTGGAGGAGTGTTGCTATAGAACAACGGTTCCTGGTGAGATTAGGATGGACCCAACCCTGTTGTTAACCTTTTATAAGGCTTTAAAAACCTGGCTGTTTCCCCGAGCATTTGGACTATGTGGTTAGGCAAGGAATTATTTTCCAACAAAAATATCTAAATGAATCCTTTAGAGTCACCATGAGGTAGAATAAAAGTATATGAATTAAAAATCCTTCATTCATTTATGTGTCAATTAAGCATCTTTTAAACACAGTTCATTCCTTTAATTATAGACTCATTTAAACTAATATAACTTGAGTTAGGAGTGATAGATCTAAGTGTCACTATTTATTTATTTATTGTATGGCACCTTCACATCACATTTTGATACAGACACAAGAGATAAAAATACAAAATATGACATATAAAATATAAGCATATGTCCAGATTTACAGATATAATTTTTGCTGCATTTGTCACAGCCAGGAAATCAGTAAAGTCCCTATCATAAGCTCTATTTAAAAGTCACTAATTTGAGTAAACCGATAACTAAGGTTTGGATCTAAGCCATTAAGTTTAATAGGCAGACAATTTTATGAGGCTTTACTCAGTAAGTTACTTCTAATGATTTTGGGATTATGTATTACAGTGGCTAAATTACTGTCACTTTTTTCTATATAAAGAGAGCTTTTGTGCAGAGTAATTAGTTTATGAAACTTAATCTTCCATGTTTGATCAAAGAAATTACTCTACCAAAATAGCAGCAATAATAACAACGAGAAGAAGAACAACAACAAGGCCTATTGTTTGGTTCTTTCTGAAGTTGCTTAGAGTAGGGACTTAATTAAAAGTGTAGAATAAAGAATTTCTGAGGTTACAGAATACATTCAAAAGAAACATAAACTACTTTATTATATATATTATTTTTGACTTCAGGTTTTTTAGACATGATCTGATTGAGAAGTGTTTGGGAAATGCTTGACTTGAAACAGCCTCTTTCTGAAGTAGACCAAATTTGAAACTTTCAGATATTGAAAGAAACACAGAGATAGAGTTTAATATAAGCTCTCTATGTAAAACGTCAGAATGGTGGAATGATGGAAACTTTGTTTAACCAACACTGAGAGGATAAACTGAATGGAATTACCAGGGAGGTAAAAGTTCAGGAATGTTCCAGTATTCAAAGTTCTTGTTTTCTGTCCTGAACCAGAATGCTTAAATGTTAATGAAGCCAATTTCAGAATTTAGGCCTAAATCAAGCATAGGGTATTTTATTGAGAAATGTCATTGATATAAAAAAAACAGAAAAAAAAATTCCTTAAACTATTAATTTCATAACAATCTGGTTCCTATTCTTTTGAATTATAGACCTTATTATTGTCTTTTTTTAAACATATCCAGGAATTATAGTAGTTCTTAACCAAAACAACATAGGTGAAATAAACCAAATCTAACATACTGAAAGAAAATACATACATACAGAAATACAGCATCATATTTTTATAAAAATTCACAGCTTTCTCAGGGCTTCCTTTCTCCTACAGGTCATTTTAATAAGAACTGTTGCAAGAATCCATGGGGGAGGAGTTGGAAATATCAAACTATAAAAATTACTTTTATATAACAAACCAGAATATAATAATTAGGAAGTTGATAAGTTTGTTTTTCTTAACAGCTAAGATACTGAGCTCAAAATTCCTGGTATCTGTCTATCATTAAATAAGCTTTCATAACAGGCAGCTGTTCTTGCAGATATTCCCCCCCCACTAAACAAATAGTTTTTTCATAACCTTTCGTGGATTTCTACTGATAATTGGAAGCATGATAATTTTGGTGTCTGAATCCAGATTTAGTTTTAGGCTCTGAATCAAATCAAATCAAGGAGCCTTCAGATTGGTTGAAGATGAAGTTTATGGTTTGGGAAAATAATTTTTTCCATATTACAATACTGATTACCAGTGACACTACTATTTTTTCTGTTCTACTCTTTAATATGGTAGAAACACATAATCTGTAGTTATGTACAATACACAAAATGTAATGAAGCATTTATAGTAAAAGTGTTTTTAGGGAATATCAAATGCAATCAGTACGAATAAATCATACTTGATTATAACGTCAAAATAAAAGTAAAGAATAGAAGCATATCCATTGAATGTGCATATTAACTCAGAATGCAAATACTCGGATTAGAAACATGTGTACACTATAACTATCCAAAACACATCAAGAAAAGAAAAAGTTAGAAAATTAAAGACAGAGAATAGAATTCTATAACTATGAACAGTAGTAAGAATCTTTTATGTCAAATTATAATGAAGCCAGGTCAGAGAAAACACTGATAATCTATTTAATATATTCCTTTTTATTTCTTGTTTATTCTTTGTTTCTTGTTGTTTTTGTCCCTTATGTCTCAAAGGTACTTTTTCCTCAAAAAGGCAACTGAACTATTTTTTTCCTTGTTGAAGAAATGTTTTTTCTTCCTCAAAGAAGACATTTCACTCCTCATCTAAGAAGCTTCATCAGTTCTGATGCAAAGCACTTCTGAAAAACCTCACAATAATATCACCTAGTTATATTTCCAACCTCAAACATAATACATGCCACATTTAGTATGACTTGGAAGATCAGTTCTTAAATTATTTATTGGGCATTTAATTCAAATAGGAACTTATTTGCTGATATTTTATTTATTTATTTATTAAATGTTTATATTGCCCATCTCCACTACAAGGTAACTTTGAGAAGCTAAGCCATTTTGACAAGCCAAATAGACTATTGTATGAAGCAAATATAATGTGAGATTTTGGCATTATAATAAACATTTGTTTATAATGGTGCTTTAGCATCAGCATATTTTCAACTTACAATATTTCTATATCATTCCACCCCTGCTTCTGCATTTTGTCAGCCATAAAAAAATCAGCAACAAATAAAAATTAAAAAGCAAATCCATCATACTTCCAAATTAGTTCTCCGTATTGAAAAAATCACTCTCTTTTTCTTAAAGTGAAGATGACTGTTAGCGTGCCACAAAGAAAACCATCTGCCAGTTTCCAACATCAACTAAAGAGAAAATCAAAGGGGCCTGGTAGCATGGCATTCCTAAAAATAAACAAAATAACCATTTGCATAATAGTCCTCAAGACCGTCGCTGGAACATGCTGTCTATATTGAAAACAAGACTTACAGCCAGGTTCTGTTTCCAAAAAAAGAAGAAGAAGAAAAGAACATGTGACTAACTGTAGGAGATGGTGCTTTGGGATGTTACAAAACATTATTTGGAAATTCATGTAATGATGGTTGACAGATGCAAAATAGTACTGGCATATATTGAAGGAATCAATATGTGTCTAGTTTTTGCAGACGTGGTTTGTGAAATCTGAGTGAAAAACGAAAAGGAATACCAGCCAGAAAAGAACTTGCAGCAAAGTGATAAAGTTATTTATTTTTCTTAAGAATGGGATGTGTGTGTGTGTGTGTGTGTGTGTGCGTGCGTGCATGTGTGCCAGTAATGGGATTCAATTTTTTTTACTACCGGTTCTGTGGGTGTGGCTTGGTGGATGTGGCAGGGGAAGGATACTGTAAAATCTCCAGTCAGAGGTGGTATTTGCCGGTTCTCCGAACTACTCAAAATTTTCGCTACTGGTTTTCCAGAACTGGTCAGAACCTGCTGAATACCACCTCTGATATGTATGTCTATAGATATTTTCTATTTGATTTTAATTTGATATTTGATATATTTTAATTTGATTTTATGATTCCCTTTTTAAACAGGCCATAAAAGAAGTATCTAAAGATTAAATTAACCATAGATAGTTATAGCAACTTGTTCTTGTTCTAGATTTTTATAGTGTTTCACAAAACTTGTTTAGCTGTGTAGCAAACAATGTAGCTCACTGTTCATTGCTTATATTTACTCTCCACTATTTCTGTAGTAGAAACTGCATAAATAACTTCCATCTGATAAATTCAGTAGCTCCACTCAGGACAGATCTTGAAGTGGGGAAAGAATTGAACCATATCTGAACCCCACAAATTAAATATTATGAGAAACAATATGATTAAATTCAATCCACATGGAAACAAATCTGAATTTCATTCTACTGAGCTGGAACCATAATATGTTTTCAAGCCTATGAATGGTTATAACTTTCTTCTTTTCCCAGAGTTCCCAAACTAGAGGTTCCATGAGTCAATTACCTTGAAGTATTGAATTTCAATATTTCCAAATTAACTGGCAATAGGATCTACTTGCACTGTGCTTATCTAAAATCCAAGCTGCTCAACAACTATCCTTGCATCTACCCCTTTCTCTTATTGGAAGCAAATCTAGAACAGTTAACTGAAGAGTTGCATTTCTGTGTTTTTAGGCATGAACGATGGCTTTCAACCAGCCCAAATATACAGTATATCCTATTTTTCCAGTCCAACAAATTAGGAAAAGTGTATGAAATTTCTGTCTGATTATAGTACATAGATGATGGAAGTTTTATATTTTGTGAGATTGAACACGTTCTGCACTAGAAAATGATGGAATTACCTGTTGCCAGTTAATACAGAATTTTTCTGTTCAGAAGGATAAGGGCCTCCCATTAAGTATCAAAAAAGCTTGAAGAAACTTTATCAATACTTTTCCTGTGGCCTACTTAGCTAAAACCTTGTTCATAAAGAAGACTGTGCTTATTGTGTTGCATAGTGAACCTTGACAACTGATTCATATTCCATGCAGGTGGTAATAGTGTCATAAAACTATTAAACAGGGCAATATACAGTCTCTGATGTAATTTTAAATCTATAGCTGTTTTCCTTTAGTTCAAGGGACAAAAGGGTACTGGCTATACTGATGAACATCTAAAGTTCATCTACTTTATTGAATTCTTCAAACTAATGTAATTGTTTAATTATGAAATGCTAATTGGACGCTAACAGATCTCTAAGAATCAGAAGTAATTGCCAATGTCTGCTTGTTATCATAAGGCATAATTTGAGTGTTTCACATTGACTTAACATACTTGGTAGATGCATACTATTTTCATAAACTCAGTAAGCTTGCCAATTATACTTTGAAATATTGATTCCAATAAAATCATCTTCTTCAGCCATGATAAGAAAGGATAAGATCAAAGTGCCATGCTGTATTGTAAAGTTATTTTTATTTCTTTTTATTTATTTATTTTGTCAAGCATGTATTTGATATTATATATAAGTATTAACATGATTATTACTATATTAAATAGATACAAATAAAAGGGATCATTAAGACACGGATGGTAGGCACGTTGGTGCACTTACGCATGCCCCTTATCTCTTAGGAATGAGGTGAGGTCAACAGTAGACAGTCTGAGCATTTGGGGTTAGTGGAAGAAACCACAGAGTCAGGTAGAATATTCCAGGCATTGACCACTCTATTGCTGAAGTTGTATTTCCTGCAATCGAGTTTTGTGCGGTTAACCCTGAGTTTGTATCTATTGTGTACTCGTGTATTGTTGAGGTTGAAGATGAAGTAGTCATTGACGAATATTATGCAGTAAATGAGCGAATGTTATGCAGCAAATAGCAATGACCTTTGCCTACAGATGTGATCCCTTATTTCACCAGAAGCAAGCAGTGAGTCAGCAAGATAGTATACATCAAATATTGCAAACAGCTTGTATAAAATGATAGGGCTTTGTCATCACAAACTGATTTTGAGAGCAAAGAAAGACATTTTATTAGAAGGTATAAAGTTTTAATTTTGATTTAATTGCAATGACATGTGAGGAGAACTGTCATGAAACCTTTTAAATGTGCAACTGTGTTCCTTGTACCACAGTTAACCCTGCCAGCAATTAAACTGGTATCATGGTCAGATGGTTTCTTTGACTGCTCCTCCTTTGCTGACTCTATCATCACAAATATTTCTGTAACCATTACAATTTATTTTGGCTATTCTGCAACTACAATAACATATTCAGATGAAATATTCATATTGTCTTTTTCAAGTACCTTTATTTTGGCAACCTTATATTTTCAGATTTAACATTGGGCATTATTAAACACAATGACCATTGATGTAAAACATTCTGATGTCTCTTTCTTATCCTTCATACAGTTTCTGTTTAGGAACATTTCTCTTCCCTCAATAGTTCCTTTCTTTAAAAAAACAAATAAAGGATTTACCCACTGATGGAAATTTGGAACTATATTTTGCCACACCTGGATGAACAGCCAGTAGCTATTTCCAGCTAAACAAGCCATGTGCCATCTGGGAAGTATCTCAACTCTCCCATGAAATACAATTACCCTGTTAGTATTTGGAGCTTATCTTGTTTAATTTTGATTGCCTCAGAATATATAAATGAAAATATATGAATATATATTGAAAAATGAAAATATATATGTTTGTATATATATATGAATGATTTGGAAAGCTACTTTATTAAAATGTTATTTTTGCAACATTATTTTCTCAATAGAAATATATAATTTTTATTGTAATTATTTTGACTAAAAGTTTTGAAATTATGCAAAGAATGAAACTGATAATTTTTAATTTGAAAAGAAGTATAGCATATAATTATATTGTGTATAAGATGACTACTCTAATTGCAATATAAAGAATACTCTTATTTGTAATATTAAGTCCCATTACCAAGGTTCATGTACTGTGATTCCCTGAAAATAAGACCTGGTCTTATAATTTTTTGCCACCAAAAAAGGCTCCAGGTCTTATTTCGGGGAATGCCTTCTACTGACTCACCTCACAGCAGTGGCACTGACATCCCCACCCACCAGGAGCCCACTACTGGCCCACTTCTTCTGCGGCTACTTGTTGCCGTTTGTGTGTGCTTCCCCCAGCCTTTGTTTCACTGTCAGAACCTTCAAAAAAGGCCTCAGCAGCTGAAAAACAGGCTTCGGACTGACACGCATGGTGCCACCTAGCCTCATTTCGCCTTCAGAGGCCTTCAGGAAAGGCCTCTGCAGCTGATAACAGAGCTCCAGATCGGGAGCTCTGTTTTCGGCTGCAGATGCCTTTCCTGAAAGCCTCTGACAGCGAAACAGAGGCCAGGGGCAACACATGCAAGTGATGGCAAGCGGCTGCAGAAGAAGTGGGCTGACAAGGCAAGGCAGGTGTCGGAGTGTGCAAGGCCTAGCTGCAACTGTCGGAAGATAAGTAGGGCAGCTCTAGCCTCCCACCCCCACTCTAGCTTAATATTTACCTGTGTGCCTTGCCCCACCCATGCAACCTGGAGTGGGAGGGGTTGTAACTAGGGCTTATTTTGGGGGGTAGGGCTTATATTGGGCATACATGTTAAAATCAAGCTAGGTCTTATTTTCGGGAAAGGTCTCATTTCCAGAAACACGGTATTACTTATATGAACATTTTTAATTATCTCTTTTATTCATTAAACATGAAACTCAGTCAACTGAACATTTAAAAATGTATCACAAATATAATTGACTGGCGCTAATGGTTGATGCAGGTTGCTGCCAGTATCCTAGGTATTAACCAAGTATTTTCTTAAGCTGTACTATGTTCTGAGTAGCCGAGTTTTTTGCAGTTCCACTCTGTTATTGCAGGAAGCTGCCCTTTCTTGATGTATTTTATAAAATTCTTGGACAAGGTACCAAGTACCCTGATGATAATGGGTATCACTGTTACATGTTTCATCCATAGTCATGTAGATGGCCAGGTTGCAATATTTTGTGATTTTTTTCCAGTTCTTTTTCTTTAACTGTGGCATCTCAATAAATTGTACGTTTCGGTTTTCGACAACTGTGATATCTGGCGTGTTGTGTTCCAAATGATGATCTATCTGTATTCAAAAGTCCCACAAGATCTTCACCTTCTCATTTTCAGTAACTTTTTTTACTTTATGTTCCCATGACTTTTCAGATACAGGTAAGTCATATTTTTTACTGTCAGTGGAATTAATGCGATGTTGAACACTAGTGGCGAAAGTGAGTGGAAGATTCCTCTTCTGATGTTGACTTCACCAATGTTTTCCCCATTTGCTGTTAGAATTGTTTTCCATTTTTGCATGTTTGCTTTCAAAAATGTACAAATATTTTTGCTGATTCCAAAGTTTTCCAGACTGGCATTAATCCAGCTGTGGGGTAGTGAGTCAAATGCCTTCTTGCAATCGATCCATACCATATTCAAATTTGTTTTTCTTCGTCTTGCATTTTTTAGTGCCATCTTGTCAATGAGCAGCTGATCTTTTGTTCCTCTTGATTTTTTATAATTTCCTTTTTGTTCTACTGGATAGAAACTGTTTTCCATCATATGTTTGAATACTGAATTTGTCAGTATTCTTGTAAAATGTTTGAACGTTGTTGGCAGAAAAGTAATTGCGAGGTAGTTGCTTGGTTCTGTGCCCTTTTCTGGATCTTTCATTATCAAGTATGTTTGGCCAACTGTTAACCATTCTTTGCTTGTTGCATTTGAAGCATTTCATCAAATTGAGTGGCCATGCAGTGATGGAGCTGGTTATGTGTTTTTGTTCTGACCCAAGCCTCATTCCAAGCAAACAAACACCAAACAGATAAAAGCAAAACCTTTTTAATGCATTTCTGTGAATTCCTTTCATTCACAGTAAAAACATTATTAGAACTAATTGTCTCAGATAAGAACAAGCTTTGCCAAGGTTGTACAAGACTGCCAAGAACACTAGATTAAATTGCAAGGAAACATTCAAAACCTAAAATCTCCAAACACAAACCAGGATAGTCCGAACTTCCACAAGACTTGAAGTGCAAGAACTTATTTGCTTCCTGCAAAGAATCCCACCCCTGAGGGCTGGCTTTTATCCCTTAAGGGACGGGCATCACCTTGCAGCCTTACTCCTGAGTTGTCTGTGCTGCAGCAGCTTCTCTTTCCTTTGAGCATCCTTGCATGCATGCGCACTGAGTACAGGCTTCTTGGGGTCCTCTGCATTACTGCTGCCAGCCGCCATAAGCTCCAAAGGCAGCACTCCACTTTCTGACAGTCCTGGCCCCATCCCTGCATCACACGCAGGCCCCTCATCTGAATGCTTGCTCTCTGAGACCTCAGCTGTCTGCACTTGCTGCCAGTGAACCACAATAGTTTTAGCCAGTATCCATGCAGTTCATCCAGGCCAGCTGTGCTCCAATTCTTGACCTTCTTTACCTGTTTTGCAACTATATTAGTTGTCATTACAATATTGGACTCAAAACAAATGTAAAACTGAACCCATACATGCAACCCTGTACAATGCTGTAACTAACCTGGGACTTGAACAATTAGTATTAAACAACACTAGACTCAACAACTGCCTCGATCTTATCTTCTGCAATAGTTTAAACTCAATATATGGACTACAAATAAAAGAACCCTTTTCCAACAATGACCACAGCATGATTGACTTTTGTCTCAACATATGTCCTTATAAAAATCACCATAATGATGGGATCCCCAAATATAACTTCAAAAAAGCCAACTATGATCTCATAGACAATGACCCCTCATCTCTTGATTGGCAAATTCTACTTCCTGGCTGCAATACTGCTGAAGACATTTACAACATTTTTTCACTTGAAGTCAAAAGAGTCATCAAACTATACGTATCACTAATAACCCCAAAAACCAGAAAAAACAAATTACCCATAACAATAAGGAAGTTCCAATCCAAAAAGAAATATCTTTGGTGAAAAACCAAAATGGATACCTAGCCAATTTGGTATTTTTGTTTAATTGTGTCACCCAATTGTCCCAGTTCAGGTTGAGGGGAGACGCATCTCCCCTCCTGGGCTTGGTCTTTTTCCCCCCGAAGACGACTGAAGCGGTGGTCTAAAATGGCCACCCCGAAGAAGAGGACTCAGCTGGGCTAAGATTTTTGCAGGAGGGAAGAAAGAGGCTCCCCTCAACCTGGCTTGCGGCTTCCCCTTACTCCACCGCCCCTCCAAGGCAGCTTCAGCCCCTAATCACGATGATTGGGGCTCTCCAACAAAAGAGCATGGACTATAGCTGTGGACAGTTGCGATCTACAGTCTGTCAGTGAGGAGGGCTCAACCCGGAAGTCAGCCTTCTGTAAAGCCTTTGATTCAGTGGTACATGACAAAGTACTCCTAAAACTAAAACCTTATGGTATCTCTGGACACCTGCATAACTGGATAGAAGCATTCCTGTCAAACAGACAACAAATGGTCAAAATTGGGAGCGTCCTATCAAATTCTGTACCTGTCAACAGTGGTGTCCCCCAAGGCAGTGTTCTAGGACCAACTCTTTTCATACGCTACATAAATGACCTCTGTGATCATATTAAGAGCAACTGTGTTCTCTTCGCTGATGATGTAAAGCTATTCAACACCACAGACAGTACTGCTACCCTTCAAAAAGACCTTGACTATGTATCAGAATGGTCAAACAAATGGCAACTTCAAATCTCAACAAATAAATGCTCTGTCTTACATATTGGCAAAAAATAAATAAATCAGAAAATAAAATACAGGCTGAATAGTCAAGACCTTGTTGATGATCCAAACTCTGTCAAGGATCTTGGAGTACTCATCTCTAATGATTTAAGTGCTAGAGCCCACTGTAACTACATAGCCAAAAAGGCATTAAGAGTTGTTAACCTAATCTTACGTAGCTTTTTCTCTGGTAATATTACACTAATAACTAGAGCATACAAAACATTTGCCAAACCAATACTCGAATTCAGCTCATCAGTCTGGAACCCACATTATGTATCTGATATTAACACAGTTGAGAAAGTCCAGAAATATTTCACAAGAAGAATTCTCCACTCCTCTACTCGTTGCAGAATACCTTATGCCACCAGACTTGAAATTTTAGACCTAGACAACCTAGAACTACGCCACCTTCGGTCCAATCTAAGTATAGTATATAAAAACATACATTACAATGTCCTATCTGTCAATGAATACTTCAGCTTCAACCATAACAATACAAGGGCAAACAATAGATACAAACTCAAGGTTAATCGCACCAAACTTGATTGCAGGAAATACGACTTCAGCAACAGAGTGATCAATGTCTGGAATACTCTACCTGACTCTGTGGTTTCTTCTCCAAACCCCAAAAACTTTAACCTTAGACTGTCTACTATCGACCTCACCCCTTTCCTAAGAGGTCTGTCGGGGGCGTGCATAAGTGCACCAACGTGCTTACCATCCCTGTCCTATTGTTTTATTTTTTTATTTTTCTTATATGTATCCATGTATTCATAACTATGTTTTTACTTATACCTATTATCTTGTAAGCAATTGACAAACCAAATAAATAAATAAGTAAATAACCATAGGGACTGCATAGGATAGCCATCCAGACCCAGCCACAGCAGCCCAACTGCCCTTTGGTGTCAGGAAGGCAGGGTCAGGTATTGGGAAGGGGGAGAAACATTTATTATTACTATTACAATATTATTACTATTACTATTACTATTAGCATTAGCATTAGCATATAATCTAAATTATTATATTATAATTCACATTATAATTCACATTATATTATGAAGCAGTCTTCAAATAATTCTTCAGTCTTGGGAAGATTTAAAAATATTGTTTACTTCTTACTTCTGTGGATTATTTTAAACATTCCTCCTATCTATCCTCTTTAAAATTCAACCCAAGACACTTCAGAGTATTTATTTGCCAAGTATAAACTCATTTTTTCAATGTTGTCTTACAAGTCAATTATTCAATAATAAAAGCTGTTAATATTATGTGATAAACTTTAATATGCAGACATCTATACTATTTAAATATATATTTACTTGAATATGGAACAATACTCAAGTACTTTGAAGAGCTTAATGTGTAACATGGACATTTTTCATGACCAAGTGAACTTCGCCATCATATTCTTAATGAAAGGTTTCTAAGCAGAAAAATGTAATAAAATCTAAGTACCTGGAGGCAGCTGCTAAAGACTTAACATATTCCTATTTGTTAACATAAAAATTGAAAAACCTGAAATACACAGAAATTAACACTTTCATTCTGCCTAATACATTTTTCAACCATTTTCTTGCTTGAAGACAAACTGATAAAATCTACTTAAATCTATATTTTCCGCTTTACTAAATGATAAAATTTAAATGGAATTTAGCAAGAGCAATAACACTTAGGCTTATATACCACGTTGTACTGCTTTACAGCACTCTGTAAGCAGTTTACAGAGTCAGCATACTGCCCCCAACAATCTGGGTTTTCATTTTATTGACCTTGGAAGGACAGAAGAGTGAGTCAACCTGGAGCCAGTCAGGATCGAACTGCGGACAGTCAGCAGAGCTATCCTGCAATACTGGATAACCAACTACAGCACCATGGCTCCATTTATTACACAATACCCCTATAACTCAGAATATTAAGGAATAATTTTGAAAAAAAAAAAAAACAGTAGAAAACAGTAAAAAAAATTCTACACTGAGAAATTGATTCATGTTTATAGAGTTCAGTTTCTGAACTCTATAAATCTTCATTATTATAAACAGTTCAATATAATGTAATGGTTAAAATAATGAAAAATAATAC